TGATCTTGCAATGTCCCAAGTTTTTCAAGTCCACCAATTAGAGTATCAGCAATAAGTTTGTCTTCTATAAAAGGTACTTGTGCATCTTATAGTACTTACAATCAATCAAAATATGGGGGTGGAAGGCCCTGAGCCAAATGGAACTCTTATGGAAAACAGGTCGGATAAGGTTTTGCATCCAAATCAAAAACAAAAAGTGAAGGTAATAAACAAATCCCTCCATGTCTACTATCCACTACTGTGCCTGCAAATTGAAGATGAATATTAATATGAGTGGTATTGCAGATCTACTGTGGCCAGAACTTTTATCGCAAGGATAATATTTCAGAAGGGAAAAGGGAAAGATTGTGAAAGTGGGGGATCCTGTTTCCATCCATAATAAGGCATCTTCTGCAGTCGAAGAAGCAGCTTGAATGGCTAAATTCATTGAGATTAAACCTGGACCATCAAATCCGTTGCCCAAATAATCAGGGTAGAAATATGAGTGCTTTGGTTTTACATACGGTGTCATCCCTTCATGACTTGTAAGACATTTAAGGCCCAATTAACGAGATAAACTTTTAATACTTACTGTGTTTTTGCTTGTGCGTGTGTGTGCCATTTTTTAATTTTTTAATTTTTTAATTTTTTGTGATATATTGAGAGTTAACTGCTTTACAAAACAAAAGTTTAAATGTTAATCTTAACCTTAAATTAAGGTTGTTTGAGTTAGTGAGTAGCAATTCATGTGAGATTTGGTATTTCTTGTATGTTTTTTGGATAAGAACTACAAAATGCTTCCGGAAATTTCGTGACAGATTTGAGATTTCTTTCAATTGGGGGCAATTTTATAAAAAGAAAATTTCGGTGGGATGGTTTTGTTTAAGCGGAAGGTCTATTTAGCTTCTTATTTTTCGCACATCAGCATGTAAATTTGTAATTTTTACACTACAGGCCACCTTGACAACACCTAGTTGGCTAGCCAGGGAGGCGGGGACCGAAGATTAACAGGCACGTGTAGCAAGTCTGGGTTTTCACCGTTAAATTTGAGCTCATTTATCCAAGTTATTAAATTTGGGGGTTCATGTCGATTAAAAAAGAACTCCAGGGTTACAATTACAATTACAAACCCTCAAAACAAGAAGTTTGAGGCTTCTCATTTTCTTCTGGTCTGTTACGTGCCCATAGATTGATCCGCCTGAGCTGTTTCTCTGCAAAATAATGCGACCACAAATCCTCATTCTGCAATCTTGAGTCCAAGATTTCGTTTTTTTTCCTATCATGGAGGAGTATTTGGTAGATTTCGCTGGTGGAAGTGAAAGAGGGAACGCCCATCAACAACCTTCAGACGACTGTAAGTATTTTTTTTCCAATCAAGGTAAACTTTTTTTTTTTCTTGATCCACTTGAAATTTTCTGCTCCCAAAACCAATCCCATTTTGAAATTGGTTCCTGTCTTTGATTTTGAGAAAGATTTTTTACCCATATTTTTTTTGCTTGCCTATATTCATTGATTTATATTTGTTGAATTTTTTCCTTATCTAGGATGATAATCATGTTAAAGAGTAAAGGGGTCATCTTTGCATGTTGCATTCTTTTTTACTGATGAATCCAAGCACCTAGAAGAAAGTGGGGAATAAAATAATGTCTGTTATTTGAAATAGGGTTTCTTCTGATTTGAGGGCAATATTGATGCGTAATTGGAATTTTTAAGTCATGATCAAGTTCTGTTTACTATTCTTCTGTTTTGGTGAAGGAGGTGGGTAGTGGGGTGGAGAAAACAGAGGCTCTAAACCTTGTGACCATTTTATTTGAGCTTAGATCAATCATTTAACAAGTTAAAGATTTGACCTTTATGCAGTTAGTGATATTGAGGTGTCTTTCAATTTGCTCGATCAAGGGGATAAGCAAAGTTTGGACTATATTACGCATGCACTAAATGGAGAGGATTCTAGTGGAATGGTACAACTTGGAACTTTATGTCCGCAAGCTACACCAGCAACAAAGAATTCAATACCCAACCAAAGTAAGGTTACATTCAATAATGTTTTCTGTAATGAATCGAAGATATTGGATCAAATGACATTGTTAACGTCTTCAGGTGCATGGAAGTCTACAGTAGAAAGGAAAAGAGCCAAGGATAAGGCTTATCGAGAACGGTTGAAGGTGAAGAAATGTTTCCTATTGCTTTATTTGTTTTGTTTAGTTTATAATCACAGCATGATCAGACTTGTTCTTTGATTGTATTCCCTATTCTGCAGAAAGGCAAGATAGAAATGAAGTCTAACATGGAGACACTTACTGAAGAAAACATGCTATTAAAGAATGAAAATGGAGCCTTAAAAGGTGAAAACACACATATGAACCAAGTTTTGCAATCTCAGGCAAAGGAGATAGATCAACTTAAAAATGATCTCAACCGATTGAAGCATGAGTATAAAAAGCAAAATGCCCTCGTGCAGACACTCTCAGATATTCTAGTAAGTCTGTCTTTTTGGATTGTGTCTTTTTGTGTTTGTAGCACACACTTTAGAAAATGATGAACTCTTTTTAATTCAACTTTTGACCAAGTCAGTGGTGGGCTCAGTGAGCTGAACAGTGGCTAGGGAGAGATACAATAATAAACTCTGTTCTCTGTTTGACTCTAATGCAATTTGATCATGTCAAAGAACCCTCTAGGTTTTATATTGAACATGCTATGAATGTGGGGGGAGAGAGAGATTCACTTCCACCAGAAAAAGGAAGAAGAACCATCAATGAACTTATTATTATTTTTTGAACATAGGGAATTTGGGAGAAGGGGGATTAGTTTTTACAAAGACTAGAACCAAGGTCTTAGCCTTGGTAAACCTGCACCCTATCCAATGCAGCTAGTGCTGCGGGTGCCATCAATGAACTTATTAGGGAAAGAAAGGAACAAGAAATCTGATATGAGAACAAGCATCTCAATTTTGATAAGTTAATTTATTTATCTTATCTAGAACGCTTGGTTAAAAAATTGGATGTCTGAAAGTATTTTAGTGGCTACAGGTGATGCTTTTTGACTGAACACTTCACATTGATATTTTACCCTTGTTATTGTTTGTTCCTTTTATAGGTGAATTCTGATCTCAGAAAAGAAAATCAGAAGCTGCAAAATGAAAATGATTTGTTGAGGCGAAACATGGGTATGGACAGTCAGCGGTTGCAACTCATGGAAGAGAACTTGAAGTTGAAACATGAAATTAAGGTACTGAAAGTGCAGGTTGATGCTTTATGCGAGAAGTTAATCATTGACAATTCCAAGAACCATGAACAAGCACAAGCAGATATGATTTGAGGGTATCCCAAAAGATTGTATATGTGTGTGTTTGTTATGGAGGACGTTAGGACTTAGAAAATTGTGGATATTACAAAGCTAAATCATCTTTGGGATATATATGATTGAATATTTTGTTCTCTGATCATGTGTTATCAAACTTACATTGAACCTCCAAGCATTGTTATGAACATGACATTTTGGTTTCTTGGAATTACAAAGGGAGGGGCACATGTTTTGCGATTGCTTATGGCTGTGAAATTGAGCTCAATGAGAAAGTTTCCTCCTGCTTTTGGATAAAAAATGCTGCATTCAAGCAAAGTCTTATCTAAGATTATGGCCTATTCGGTTGTTCATGTCCTAAAAGTAAATATATGGGGAAGCCAACATTTCTTTAAAGCCGACATTTCTTTCTAATTGGCTTAGGTTTGGAAAATAAACTTTTAAGCACAAAATTCAAAGTAAAATGTAATTTTAAGCACAAAATTCAAATTAAAATGTAATTTTAAGTACAAAATTCAAAGTAAAAAGCAACTTGTTATAAAAAAAAATGAAAGTTTATTTCGGGTAATAATAAAATATTTCCTTCTAGAATTTGTAATGAAAAATAATTTAAGAATAATTTTTTTGTATTATTTTTTAATATAATTTTATATGTTATTTAAATAATTTACTTTTTTCATTTTTTTGAAATTTATGATATTGAATATATTCATTCATTTAATGACATGTAAAAATTATATAAAAAAATTATTCTTATATCACCACTTAATTTGTAATCAATTATTCTATTTGGTTGGATATGGTTGTTTCACTTTCAAAATGAGCATAGTCTACATTTTTTTTCATTGACTTTTGTGCTTAAAATGTAAATTTTTAAGACTCAAACCGAATTGTTTTCTTATGTGGTATTCTTAAAAATTGCTTTGCAGAGGCATAAGTAACCAAACCGCCCCCAGATGGATATCAAGTTGGGCCATGCGGTCTTCGCTTTTGGTGCTTACTTTTTGCTTTACTGGATGGTCGGCGTTGGCAGTTGGGTAGAATGGAGCAACACGGCACACATATTCCCAAAAATTATTATGCACGGCCGAAGAGAAGTCTTCTAAGCCCCTCTCTTTTAAAAAGGTTTGCTGACTGCGGCATCAAGCTTCTGGAATGGTCAAGTAGTATAAGCTAAAAACTTTGAGCTTAGCATTAATAAATTCATAATTAATAATTTTTATTAGAGAGCATTACAACGTAAGCCATGACATCAAGTGTGAAACGTTATTATGTTACTGTCAGGCTCATACTGTCATACAGTGGAACAATTTTCTTCGGTGATAAGCATTTAACGGTTTAGTTTGGTTCCTGAACCGAATACTTATCAACTGACTCGGATAAGCTATCCGGTAACATAAAAATTTTAAAATATATCTCTAAAATATTTAATAAGTATCATTTACGGGCTCTGCTTCAACGACTTATGCTGGACCAAAGCTGTTAATTCTATCACGTCAGCAATATTATGTTTATTAATGAAGAGAAACATCAACATACATGTATACTTGTAATTAAAAACATTAATGTAAAGACACATAAGTATGCTAAGGTGTCATTACATTACTTCTCTATATGATTTTTTTTTTTTTTTAATTTTAGTTTGGACGTCAGGGGTCTTTGGGTCAATTTGGAAGCTGCTTAAGATTAATCCTTTCTCGAGTGATCTTAATTGCATATCTTTATCATTAGTTTAATGTATTTAAAAAAATTAATTTTCTTAGATGCTAATCCTAAAACTTAAATCTTACATTTGACTTACAAAACCATAATTATTAACCAGTAGATCAAACTTGGGTTCATTGTATGAAAATTTTTTTCTTTAATTCTACTAACAAAAGGAATTAGGCCATTAATTTGGTTTCTTAACTATTGTACAGACCCCAACTTGGTCTCAAAATATAAAAAATCCCTAATTTAATCCCTAAAGTTTGAAAATTTTACTCATTTTTGGTCCTTTCATTAATATTTTGCTGATGCGGCTCCTTAATTGATAAGAGAAGCATCACATGTCCAAAATTTTAAGATGTAGGATTGCCAGCTTGGAGACATGAATGACATGTCTAAAATTTGTTCAAATTACAAAACTACCCTTATCTTCCTTACCTTTCCTCTTCTTTTTGCTTTTTCACATTTCCATTTTCTTTCTTCCACCTCTTTTATCTTCCGAAAACTATAAACTAACTATTGAAGGTAAAGGGTTGATGAATCAGTAGCAAAGAAGATGTGTAAACTGACTAGGATACCCTTTACAAGGAATGAGGAGGGTTCTCTTGGCTTGCACCTATTTCATGTGTAAGAGGTTATGTGACACAAGTTGTCTCCTTTCACCTAGTGAAAAAGAATTGTGCAAGGTTCTCAAGGAGAGTTTGAAAATACAACTTCCCTAGCTAAGCTAGAAGAG